CCTATATCTGGTTGGATGATCGTTCACCTCTGCTTAGACATGTGAACGTGAGGTCAGCAGTCAAGCTAGTCGGCTTTGGCTCTCTGGAGCTGTTATGCCACGGATTTATTTATATAGTACATGTAATTAAGAATTACCCCCCTGTATATTACATATTGCATTTCTTGTTCAATTAATTTCATTGCCTGGTGTGTGTAGGTATCTGGACTATGAAAAACTTGGCATCAAGACATACTCTTTGAGCCAGTATGAAGACGCGCTTCAAGCTCTCAAGGAGGGGACAATTGCAAAGGCGATGTTCAAGTTGGAGAAGTAACAAAACAGAGATTTAACTCTAAGCTATAAGAGAATGTAGACAGTACTGGAATTACTGTAATTCCATCAAAATTGTATTAATTTAATTATGATATAACAACAGACACATTGCAGCATTATGACACCATTTTCAATGTTCTTTCCACTTTACTGTCTGTATATTGGTCATAGGATTCACATACTTTTAGTACATAATGACAACAAAGTCTCCAGATCTTTCTAGAGGGAAGAAAGTAAAACACAGTATCTTTATATCAAGTTCTTCCATCCAGAATGTCTGCTTCTGCCTTCCAGACCTTCCAAGAACCATAAAATTGTTACATTTAAGTAAAGATTAAATGATTCAATAGTAATATCAAAAATATCCTATCACTTTCAGCTTCTAAGAGACAACCCATACTGTCAGCCACTGACAAAATTATATTTCTGACCATCAAGTGAGTAGTCAGCAACAAAAAGATCACAGCTGCCTCGTTTGTTCAAAGTTATAGGACCACAATCAGTCAATTGGAATTAGGGAACGGCATGTCCTGCACGCCAAATATAATCTTTTCACTGCCATGATTCTTCACTCATACCAAATGATTTCCAATTGATTACTGGGTGTAAGTAACTGATATATTCTCACTAACGACCTATTAAAAGATTAAATCAATGATGAGTAAATGTACTGACTTTCCACACGTCACATCGAACCTCTTCTGGTTGCTCATAAAAAGTGGAATGCCAAATGTGAATGTTGTCTGTGAATCTGTGACCTAATATATCTGGGCAGATTTTTATATAAAGTTTGTTGGGGAAACTTAACATCAACAATTACCTCAAAACTACATTTCATAATTGCGTCACTAAAAGAAAAATTCTGTTCAGTATCGCGCTGTACTGCTGACTTATCTTGCTGTTCTCCAGCACTAACCTAGCCATTATCATCACCGGTCGAGTAGTTAGAATTATTGCTACATATTAGGAAAGTCCTAGTGAGTCTAATAAAAATGTGCTTAAATGAAACCTGTAGCAAAATTCATGTAGGTAAATATGTACCTGAGTCATTCTTCATCAAGAACGATCTAAAACAAGGAGATGCTTTGTCTCCCTTGCTCTTTAACTTTGTGGTAGAATATGCCATCAGGAAAGTCCAAGATATGCAGGAGGGTTTGCAATTGAATGGGACACATCACCTATTGGCATTTGCTGGTGATGTTAATTTATTGGGGGACGATATGAATACAATAAAGAGGAACGCAGAAGTTTTACTAGAAGCTAGTAGACAGGTGGGGCTAGAAGTGAATTAAAAAAACTAAGTACATGTTAGTATCTTGTCAGCAGACAGGCAGGCAGAATTATCTTAGGGTGGCTAATAAATCCTTTGAAAATGTCACAAAGTTCAAATATTTGGGAACAACAATAACAAATCAAAATTATATTCATGAGGAAGTTAGGAGGAGACTAAATTCCGGAAATGCTTGCTACTTCTCAGTTCAAAATATTTCGTCTTCCCGTTTAATTTCTAAGAACCTGAACTTCAAATATACGAAAATAATTCTGCCTGTTGTTTTGTGTGGGTGCGAAACATGGTCTCACACTCTGAGGGAGGAACATAGATTGCAGGTGTTTGAGAACAGGGTGTTGAGGAGGATATTTGGGCCTAGGAGAGAAGATGATGGGGTTTGGAGAAAACTGCATAATGACGAGCTTAAAAATCTGTACTCGTCCCCCAATTTTGTCAGGGTGATTAAGTCGAGAAGAACGAGATGGGCAGGGCTTGTAGCGCTCATGGATAAGACAAGGTGTGCACCAGGTATTGGATGGGAAGCCTGAGGGGAAGAGACCTCTGGGGAGACCTAGACGTAGATGGGAGGATAATGTCAGGCAGGATCTATGGGAGATAGGAGCTGAAGGAGACTGGATTTCGTTGGCCCAGGACAGGGTCTGGTGGAGGGCTTTGGTTAATTCGGTGATGAACCTTCGGGTTCGGTAAGCCATCTACATAGTTAGTTATTAGGAAAGTCCCGAGTTCAAATCTAGCCACGGATGTCGGTTATCCTGGATAAGATTATTCGTGGTTTTCCTTAGCACTTGCATACAAATGCCGGATGACTGGGGCATTAAATGATATCACGATCATTTCTTTCATATCCTTTTGAGTGCATTATCTTTACTCATTCGATGCCATAAAACCAAACAAATGACAGGGATAAATGAAGAATAAATAAACAGCGTCATCACCCCATTACGGCTTACGCCGTTGATGTGAGCCGAACGAGGCCGATTACTACCGAGACCTGTGATGGGGTGTGCGCGTCTGGCGTCTGGGTCTCAGTTATGTTCAGCGGTGTGCAGGGTGCACTCTGCTGTTTTCGGTGTGGTACGCTGGGGCCAGTTTCTGTCCAACTCGGTCTCGAAGCCAGACCCCTAGCTGTCAGTTCAAGTTTCCTCCAGTGCTTCATTTCAATTTAAATCAACCGAAACAAAATTCCAACAACTGTGAATTCAAGAAAATCAAATATAATTAATAATTATTTTTGTAATAATAATAACTGTAATAAATACAGGTGATGATAAGAGTAAGTGGGACGCTGAAAGGCGAGCACCTGTTGGATTACGTAATAATGTGAGATGCAGGTGGATCGATTGGCGGAGAAGCACTGAATCTCATGTTCTATTTCTGTTGGAAGCGTTGTCATGACAACGCCGAGATGCTGCACGTGACTCAGTAAGTACACTCCGCATTGGAAGTCTACGACTTCAAGACGGTTTTTAGACACAGTATGCTTCTACTTTCTGTCTCTGGCTTAATCTGCATGCATTCTAAAGTTTCCTACTTTGCTTTGCGGATCTAGAAAAATAATACCTGGCTATCATGTTTCCAACTTTCGGTTAAGACCGCGGGTGACTTCAGACAGCCAGCGATAGACAAGAAAACCTCCCAACTTGCCGACTGAAGGGGTTAACCCCATCGGTTAGCTTTCTGTGGAAACTCACAGTTGGTACTCTGATGTGGTGAGTGTAAAAGGGGGCCCGCCCCCAAATCCTGTGACTAACGTACCAAGGTTCGTCAGTCGCAGGGCGCAGACACTTGGGTTACAACTCTTGCGGCTTCCAGATATGTCTGCAGTGCTCTTCGGGGGCGCTTAGAGCAATCGTCGAACACTGCAGACAATGCCGAAGGCTGCTGAGGTAAATCTTCCAGTAAAAATGAGCAGTGATAATTTGAGGAACATGGTTATGACAGCCGGGTCATTTGTACGCAGGGCTACCTCGACATGTCAGGAGGGCGTAGGCATGTCGTTCACATACAGATTACAGAGCACGGCGGAGACGTGTCCACCCTGGTCTACACCGAACCGCAAGCTACGACGAGTATATGTGGCCGATTCGAAGGGCGTTTGAAATGCCCTGAAGTGAAGAAGTGAGGATGCGGTGTTCACCAGATAAACATAAAAGATGAAGATAGTAAGCTTGTTAAAGTGACCTTTGACCCACGCGGCGTCGAAGGCTTCAGTACACGCATCGAGGAAAACCGCGCCGGTTCACAGCTTGCCAAAGGTTCTATTAACTTTATGAGCTGTAGCGTCGTGCAACGTAAGAGACGAAACCCAAATGACTAGGATCTTCTCAAGAGACGGCCAACAGCACCAGGTCGAAGGCAAAGTAGACTCCTCTCCCAGCTTCAGTACATCGTGTTTAAATCCTGGTGGAAAGTTTTGCGTTAGGAGGACTGCGTTGAACACGTCAAGCGCCTTGGTAGATGCCTCAGGACCCTATTCGTGCCCAGAGCCTTGCCAACCCCGAGTCCTTGATGGCCTGTAGACGTCCGAAGCTATATTAACACAGCGCCATTTCTTGTAACAATGTACCAGCGCTCCCCTTCATGCCATGTGCAGACCGTCAGACCGTCAGTCCGCTGAATTTGTATTATAATTTCAAGAATATCAACAATTTCCGACAAAATGGATAGGTGTCCGTTGCAGTCCGGTGCTATGATGAAGAAACAAATATGCCTATAGAATGTTTTGTGGCTATTCGAGGCTCAACGTCTGCTGGCTCGTTGTCAATTTTTAACGAACCTCATTTTGTTATTCGTAAATTAAGAGTTGATTGGTCTAACATTGTCTTGTTTTATTTCGATGGTGCAGGAACCACGTCTCGTTGTATAGAAGGTGTTCAGGTAAAGTTCAAAGAGACTGTTATGTGCATTGAGTGAATTTAGTAAATGCGTTTACCTCTTTGGAATAAATATTAAGAACAACTCGAAATAGGCCATGGCCTTTTTGACCAACTGAAGACTTCTGAGTTTATTTTCCGTATTAAAATGATGCATCCCACTCTCCAGCTGATACTTAAAGTTAGCAAATCATTACAAAGTTTAGAACTCAATTTATATCTGCAACTGCCAGAGTAAAACCTCTCCGTTTTACCGTTACTGCACTGAGAAATAGAGAATATCTTCAAGAACTCTACAAGACAATTAGTGAAATTTGCAAAAACATGGTGTTTCTATTCCAGCTTTTAAACAAAAACGATAAGTTTACTGTCATGTTGGCGACATTGCAAACACCCAGTATCTTCCGGAATCAAAACGTGAGGAAATGTATATTACTTCGTTCTGGCCATCATTGGCCACCACAGTAACAGAACTCGACCTGAGATTTAAACAGGAAACTTTAAACGTAGCAACTGCAATGGACAACCTTTTGAATTTGGATATCGTAAAAGACCGGTAAAAAATGTT